TGCATACCGAGGCTCTGTCTCAAAAAAAATGAAACAGCAAACCCAAAACAAAGAAGATGGAGACCTGCAAGGCAGGAGGGGCCCTCACAGGGAACAGAGCCTGCTGGCATAGACTCTGAGCCACTGGGCTAAGTCCCTGCTCCTGTGGCAGGAGACTGTGCAGGTCTCCTCCCACCAGCCCAGCCTGTCTCGGCGCATGGAAGTCATCTGCCAGGGGCTTTGTGAGCTAAGCACTTAGCTGGCAGATGAAGCTCTTACCTTTGCCTCCCCTTCATCCTGAAAAGCCACTTAGGATGACAGGAAGTGAGCTGGGCAGGGTGACACAGGCCTGTGATCCCAGTACTTGGGGAGGGTGAGGCAGGAGAAGTGCAAGTTCCAGTCCAGCCTGAGCAAGTCAGCAAGACCCTGTGTCAAAATAAAATATTCAAAAAGGCCGAAGATGTAGGTCAAAGCAAAGGGCATGGGTTCAATCCCCAGCACTGGGAAAAAAAAGATAGTGATCTTACAAAAAAGAAAACTTTGCGTGCGCCAGATGTGGTGGCGCACGCCTGTCATCCCAGCACTTGGAAGGCTGAGGCAGGAGGATTGTTGCAAGTTGGAGACCAGCCTGGCCTACAAAGTGAGCTCAAGGCCAGCCTGAACTGCATAGCGAGACTCTGTCTCAAAAAGACGAAAAAAGGAAAAGAAAAGAAAAGTTCCCAAAGACCAAAATAATGAGACTGATGACAGTGACAAAATTGCGGCTGGCGAGTAGTGACTTGGGCATTGACCCCAAAAAGGCTGGGGCAACGGGGAAGGCAGGCGGGACTCAGTTTCACTGCAGAACCCACACATGGACAGAAAGGAGCATCCAAAGTGGGGTGAGCTGGGAGCAGCAGCTGAGCAGAACAAGGGTGTCAACTACTGGGGGCCACCAGGAACGGCTCCAGAGGTGCCACACTGGAAATAGGGACATGGAAGGGATATCTGTCTGCTGAACATGGGGCGACCTGGTATGGGCCCTCTGAGGTCTTTTATGTATTTATTTGTGTTTCTTTGGGCTTTGGTATACGGTCCAGGGTGGCCTCAAACTCACAGCGATCCTCCTGCCTCCGCCTCCTGAGTGCTAAGGTGACAGGCATGTACCACCACACCCAGCTATATGGGTTTTTTTGTTTTTTTTGTTTGTTTGTTTTTTCCCTTTTGAGACAGGGTCTCACTGTGCAGTGCAAGCTGGCCTTGAGCTCACTATGTGGCCCAGGCTGGCCTCGAACTCACAGTGATCCTCCTGCCTCAGCCTCAGCTGGGATTATAGGCGTGCACCACCATGCCTGGTTTTATCATATGGCCTTAATGACAAGAAAGTCGCAAGCCTGCCCAGGTGCTAGAAGAGGGTTAAATCCCATGTCTTGATGGGAGGTGGCAAAGTTCCAGAGGAGCAGGTGGGGTGGGAGATACTGCTGGGGCTACCTTTGAAAAACACAATCTGCTACCAGGCCAGTTGAAAGGCAGACAGACGGACTAGACAGAATAGTTCTGTGCTATTTACGAGAAGCAGTCTGAAACAGGGTGACACAGGCACACTGAAAAGAGGACTGCAAAAAAAAAAAAAAAAAGAAAAGAAAAGAGGACTGCAGATGACAATGGACCAAGCAGACCCAGCCTCAGAAAGCTGACAAAGCCGGGCGTGGTGGCACACACCTGTAACCCCAGCACTCGAGAGGCTGAGGCAGGAGGGTCGTTTCAAGTTTGAGGCCA